TTTGTGGCGGTGGGGAAGGGGAAGGGGAGCACCCCCGAGGCGGAGAAGCAGAGTGGACAGCAAACTGCTTGGCAAGTGGCGTCATCCCTATCTGCGTCAGAGTCAGCTTCAGCTTCAGGAATCCTTTTCGTTGTGGTTGCGGTTGTCATGCATACCCTGTGTACCTAGATTTTGCCTGTTCGGGTAGATGGTTATTCGTAATTAGATATGTTAAAAAATTAAAAATCGATAAGTATCGATCAATGATATCGGTAAGAATGCAAGATATTGAGAGATTTGTGTGGGCATAAGAGCTGAAAACGTTGATTTGAAGTTGATTTACTTTCAATGTCGATAACTTTATGCATTTCAGCAAAATCGATAAATATCGATTCACAGAACTACTCTGATTTTAATAACTAAATAAGCTATTTAGTGCCGTAGGTTTGTTAGACTGTGTTCATCTTGAATGTGATTCATATTTGTAAAGAAAGTATCTGCCAGTCGTATATATGTACCTTTTTAAGAGTAGTATTCTCTTTTGATTTTTTGGCTTTGGGCACATCTCTTGGCAACTACAGGGTATCTGCTAGTCGCATACTTATGTGTTGAGCTCACTTGTTCTATTAGTTGCCTCAAGGTTTTCATCTGTTTGTGACATTTCAAAGGTATCTCAGCTCCGCTAAGGAAAAATGTTAGCCTTATACAGGGTATCTCAAGCGAGCAAGCGAAAAGCAAGCTAACTGTCTTCACTGAGCTATGCTCGAAGGCTTTCTGCTCGCAAAGCTGTCGTGTAAGGTATGCACTAGTCGGGCAAGCTCAACTAGTTGTTGCTGTTGTTGTTGCTGTTGCTGTTGCCGTTACTGGTGCTTGATGTATTTCATGAATTCTTTATCTAGTTGGTTGCCAGTTGCCATTTGGCAAGTTGCGAAAGTGAAATGCGAGTCGCACCGCACGACAGGATGCAGAGCCACGCCCCGCACCGTCTGGCCGTCCTTTGGCATCTGCAATTGTGCAACATTATGACGGCTCGAACTTGGTTTATGGCTTGAGTGAAATGAGCAGCAACAGGAGCAGGAGCAGGAGCAGCAGGAGTGGCAGGAGCAGCCACATTGGTAGCATTCATCAGCTGTGGGCGGCCGGTGCAATTGTCAAGCGCAGCAAATGCTGCAAGTGCGGCATGCGGCATGCGGCATGTGGCATGCGGCAAATGTAGTCAACGGGTATTTGTGGCAACAGTGAAAACCTGTGCCATGCACAACATGCGCAAATATTTAACGCAGCTGCTGCGTGTTGCATGTCGCATGTTGCATGTGGCATGCTACATGTGGGCCATGTTGCGTGTCGCTAATGCGGCGTCAAAACATTTGGCAAGTGTCGCCGCGCTGCGGCTTAACATAAACATAGATCAATTTCAAGCACGCTCACGTACGCCCTCTCCCTCTCTCTCTCCCTCCCTCTCTCTCTCTCACACACACGCATTTCGCTACAATGATGATTGAGCAGCTGACAAATACCGTTACACGCGCAATTCATGCATAATTAAAGCTAATGCTCCATTCTGCGTACAGTTGTGCACGTTTGCATATCGTTTATCGTTATCGATTAATTACAAAATTTAGTTTCATAGGCATGTTAATGGGTGTGCATCATTTGCAAAGATCTATTTACACATAACCCATACAATATATCATCATAGTATTTATCACGGTTCCCGTGAATGCGCCCATTTCCATTTCCAGTTCCACTTCCATTTCCACTTCCATTTCAATTTCAATTTCAATTCACTTGACCGCAATACTTGCCGTAAAACCAGCAGCCGGCAGTAATAATGCCATGGATTATGTTGACATATGCCGTATGTGGGGCAAATGGGCTTTGCAGCAGCATATTTTATATATGCATTACATATACATACATACATACATATATATATAAATATAAATATAAAAATCTCTATAGGGCTGCCCTGTGTGAGGTGCAATAGAAATGCATAGAAAAATTTATTTATTGTAAAGCTTTAAATGTCAAAGGCAGTTCAAGTTTCTGGAGTGCGAACGCTCGTTAGAGTTTCGGGGAAGCTTCGTCATGCGAGAGCGCATTGTGACCCTAACAACTTAAATTTGGTCAGGAAATGTTCGTTTAAAATGCATAACTATTCGATTTAATTGGATGTATAATAATGTGTAATGATATATCGATAAAAGGCTATCAATGGATTAGTCCCATATTCTTGCAGTAAACAACGAACATTTATCGACTTTGTGTTATATACGATGATATTCTCGGTAAACGCATTATCGTTTATCGATTGCTCATTATAGTTTAGAAGAAGAATTCAAATTGATATCGATAATAGGAGGTAAACTGTCGTAAAGTACTCAGATATAAACCACAATATATCGTTTATCGGAATTAGTTATCAACTAGTTCCAGTTAGTTAATCATAGATATAAGCCCCAATATATATAGTTTATCATCGCATTAGCGTTTTTCGATAAGATATATTAATCGTTTATCGATTGTAATTCATGATGCTTTTCGATTGTTATAATAACATTTATCTGTTACATTTCCCTCTTCTATTTTAGCTGCCTTGTAGGCAATACCTTCATTAGTTAATTTGTCCAGGTGAGAACACTCACCTGGCGCAGTAGAGCAAAGGTGTTGCAGCTGCTAATTCTCCATTTTAATTTTAAATTATGCAATGTCGAAATTTTTTTGCTGTTCCAATTTGTTTGACTGCATTTTTGCCTTGAAAATCATTTATTAAAATCCATTTGCATCTCGAAAAGAAAAGGGCGAACTGGACAGCAAAAGGACAGCCGGAAAATTAAGTGCGGAAACTCTAGTATCGTATGCTTTAACGAAATATATGCATTGCGAGTTGTTGAATGCTGGAAAACTGGAAGAATTTAGTTGGGTTTTTCTAAAATTTGCAGCTTAAAATATGGAAAATTTAAAGATAACTCAATGAGGTTTGAGAAAAATGAAAAAATATAGCATACTTTTATGGGCGTGAACTATATAGGCCAACTTGGGATATGCAGCAAAGTCAATAAAAGCGAGGTTTGCGAAAATGGAAAAATAATATAGCATACTATTATGTGCATGGGAAAGATAATATTATTAGGGGTAGACACTATCTTCAGCCATACCAATTATAGCTGCAACTTCCCTGGGCACCGCTCTAGAGCAATGTGTGCAATGTGCCCACGGTCGGTATGTCAATACCTCGGTTCGATATGGGAACCTGTGCGACCTGTGAGTGGAGTGCCTGTAGCTGAACCTACGCAGCTGACATCGACATGCTCTGCATGACTGCAGACATACCTGCATTGCTTCGGGTGTTGGCTCAAAATGCAGGTGCATCCACCGTTAATGCATACACGACTCGGCGCGCACGGGTCACTTGAAGCCCGAATTCCGAATGCCACTAGAATCGCTCCCGACAGAAGGCTGACTTTTGAATTACGCCCATATGTATGGTCAGGTGAGCAGAACATGCACAACATAATTAAAAATCTGTATTGCTTGCCGAGAGCATGTTTGTACAGGTTATGGTTGCTTCAACCAATATCCCATTGGGGCTCTCACATCGGTCAAATTCGAGGTATACTAATGAAAGCGTTACATAGATCAACTGGAGTTGATTGGTTTGTGAGGAACTCACTGCTATATCTGAGTTGAGTGAGTCATTTTATGGGCCCTGCCACGCCCACTTCTGTCAACTGACATCTTAAGAAACCCATTATGCTCCAATCTCCCATTTCCATCTTAAATTTTCTTGTTCTTGCTCAATTAATTTAAAGAAATGTATTATTTTATTTGAATTAGTAGCTAATCTAAGCCTAATATGACAAAAAAAGAAAATAAAATAAAACAATTTTAGAGGAAATAAAAACAACAAATACTATAGCATACTTTTTTGGGTTTCATGTGTTCGTACATATATTATTTATCAAATTATCTCATTAATTTTATAATTTAAGCATGAATTTAACTGTATAAAAAGCAGTTTAAAGTGAACGGAAAAAGTCAGATTTTATCTTTGATTATTATAGTTATTAGGGTGTTTGCCATGTGGTTAATCATGCGCTTAACGCTACATAATTAATTGCTGCATTGATGGTTTTTTATTTTATTTATTTTTCTTGTAAATAAATTATTTCATTTAGCTGACACACACACACACACACACATGCACATACACATGTGTACAGGTGTTACGCACAATTGACATTGGTTAAATAATATTCAACATATGCAATTGCAATTGCATTTTCCGTAATTACCAGAATAATCGTAATTACGCGTATAAAAGACAGCTACGCACACACACTCGCACTCGCACACACGTACAAGCACACGTGCACATGCAGACAGAGTTCGGCCGGACAGATAGTTAATTGAGCTGTTGCAGGCTTACAATTGTTCTTGTTGCCGTTATTTGTAATTGCTCTTGTCGTCTCTTCTTCTGCTTTTGCTTTCTCTTGTTGCTTTTGTTGTTATTAATGCGAGTGTTGGCACTTTCGCACGCAGCAAGCAGCTTTTTGTCACCCCACCCTCTACTCACCTCTCACCTCTCCTCACCTCATCGGCATCAGCATCAGCATCAGCAACGGCATCGCATCGCATCACAAAATTCACCCCACTCCAGTCGCCGTCCGGCGCCCATTTGCTCGCTTACACCCAAGCAGCCAGCATTGTGCGGAAAAGTTTGCTGGTAAACACATTCATAAAGCAAATATGCAGGCCACCAACCAAGCAGCCAGCCCCAGCCAGCTCCAGCCAGCCAACCAGTCAGTGCTGCCAGAGCATCGCTGCCGGCGTCGCTGCCAATACGAACATATGCTAAACGCTCAGCAGAACAACAGACAAGTGTCGGGCAGCCGTCAGCTAAAGCGAGCCGAGTCGAAACGATTTGTTGCGTAGCAGCCGAAGCCAAGCCGACATAGTCGACGGCGTCTTGGTATAAAAGCCGCTGGCAGCAACAATCACGTTCAGCATTCTACGTGCGGCAGGCGTAGAGCGCACAACATACACTGAGCTTTCTAACGGCAGAGCGGAGCTGAGCTGAGCTAAGCAAAGCAGCGCTAAGCGGAGTAAAAAGCACTTTCAAAAGACACAGGCGCGTTTTTCTCAAAAGCGCGCGCAAAAGCATTTGCTTCAACGGTAAAAGTGAAAAAAAAGTAAAAAGTACAAAAAAAAAGAAATATATATATAAAAACGGTAAAAACGAGAGGCACAAGAGTCGCGCGCGAATTGAGCGCTGTTTACTTTGCCATTATAAATCCGGCGAACGCTTTGTTTGTGTTTGTGTTGATGTTGGCTAAACAAAAAACAAAAACAAAAAAAAAGCAAGCCAAAAATAAAAGAAAAGAAATCACAAAAAAAGGAAGAAAAGAACACACCGTTTCCTTATCTTCCTTGCACTCTGTGTGTCCGCTTGTTGTTGTTGCTGCTACTTTTTTTTTTGTATTTTTGTTGTGGTTGTTGTTCGTGTGCAAAGTGCATAGCTGAAAGAAATAACAGGCCAAAAATTGCAAACGGAAAAGGAAAACGGAAAGTGTTGCATTTCCGTGTCGCCTGCAGTTCGCTGTTGCTGTTGCTGCTGCTGCTGTTGTTGTTGTTGCCATTACTGTTTACCGTTACCTTCGGCAATCTCTTTTGGCGCCGCATAAAATGGCCGCAGGTGCTGCCGACAAGTCGCATTGGCCATAAACAAATTCTCGCCAATATCCGTTGACCTTTTTCAAAATGGTCCGAGACTGAAAAGGAAAACAAATTGCAAATTGCATCGTAAAATCATTTAATTCATGATTTACAGCCAATTCGTGATATCAATACCGAGTTATATATGTATGTATGTAAATACATTTATCTTTATGCATAAAATCAAGACCAAATTGTGCTCTATACACTGTGCGAAAATTCGTTAACTTGATACAATGCAATCAATTTATAATATTTGAAGCACACTCCAATTAACTGAATCTTAATTTAATGCATTTAAAATTCCTTTTATAATTTAGTATTTTTAAATTATGTAGAACAAATTTTTATTTATTTTCCAAATATTTCTTTTTGATGAATTCATTAATATAAAATTCTGTAGAGCTTCCGAGAGCTGTTTTTATTGTTGATAATAATAATAATAATAATATTAGTAATATCATTATTATTATTATTTTTATTATTATTATTATGTCTTATATTTTCATATATTTTTATTTGTTATTTATTTTTTTTATAGGTATAAAAACTTTTATCATATAGTAGAAAAAATCTGTATCAGTTTTTGCGTATATCTTTTCTTTCGGCATATATTCAAAACAAAATTCGCCTAGGTAAATCAATTTTCGTATACGTAATATTTAGAAATGCAAAGGTTCGTATACGTAATATGATGGGAAAAAATTCTTCCTAAACGTAAAAGATTTTATTTATTAAAAATATTAATCTCCAAACCTAAAAATCCTTAAGTTTTGAAGATATTCATAGAGACTTTCAATATAGGAAGAACTTTATTTATATTTGTAATACGTAAAGTTTATATATGTAGTATGAGAAGATATAGAGACTTGGTAATAAGTCTGGATATTACTTATAGTTAACTTCAAATTTAAATTCACTGAAGTTCTTTGAATATTCAAATCAGCGGAGTGAGAGAGAAAGATGCTGAGGATAATCAAAATTTTTGGCACGGTGTTCCTTAAGCAGATTTGGCTCTTAATTTATATGGCTGCTGCTGCGGCAGCTTAATTACATGAAGAACGTATATACTTTCCAAAGAATTTCCACTCTTGCGGTTGCAAAAAAATATAAACAAGCTGGAGAAGAGAAGAAAAATGAATAAAGATATATAAATATATATATGTATGTACATATATATATAATGCGCCGACCGCAGAGGAGAAGAGCAATTGAATTGAAGTCCTTTTTAAGCCGAGCCAGGAGCAGACGGCGTTGGCAAGGCTGAGCCGCATTACTGCACAATGTCTGAATCTGTCACATTCGCTGGCAAATCTTCCTGTTTCAAAATGGAAATTGCATTCTCAGCAGCACGCACAGAAAGTTGCCAAGTTTTGCCTCAAATTTAAGCACTTTCGAAAGTATTTCGTTTTGGCCCTCGCCACTCCGGCCAAAACAAAAGTTGGCCCAAGTAGCAAGAGAAAAAAAAAAAAAAATGTTAAAAGAGAGAGCGAGAGGGAGAAAAAATTAAATGCGTTAGAAATTGCATTTTAATTTGCGTTCAATTTCGTTCACTGTATACCAGCTTAAAAGTAACGGTAAAGCAGGAGAGGCAGAAGAAGCAGCAGCAAGAATAACTTGGTTACATTAAGCCATAAATGGCCTATATCGAATTGAGCAGGTGGGCATTTAGACCAAACTAATTGTGTGGCCAGAATGGCAAAACTTGTTCAAGTGTAACTAAATGTGAAACTTTACAACAAATTTGCCATAAAAACGTTGCTAAACTCGGAAAAAAACCCACTTTTATCCACGTATAGCTGCAATTTGTAATCGAATGTGCTTTGATGATGCGAAATGTAAATAGTTTTGGAAACCGTTTGGCTACGAATTTTGCTATGAATTGGTCTTCGATCAACCGATTGATTAGATTGTGATTGGCTGATTATTTGATTATTTGATTATCTGATTATTTGATTATTCACGCAGCTTAGATATGCATTAATATATATCATGCTATACATATGCAGTGATCTATACAAAACTAATTAATCAATCAGTCAGTCAGACAATCTGTCGGTCAATCAGTCATTGAGCCAATCAATCTGTTGGTAAATTGGTCAGTCAGCCTGTTCCTCAGTCAGTCAGTCGTTCACTCAGTCTATGAGTCAGTCAGTCAATCAATCAATCAGTCAAGTACTTAGTCAGGCTGTCAGTCAGTTAGTCAGTCATTCAAGCCAGTCAATCAATCAGTCAAACACTTAGTCTGGCTGTCAGTCAGTCAGTTAGCCATTCAGTTAATCAATCATCAATTAAATACTTTTTCAGACTGTCAGTCAGTCAATCAGTCAATTAATCAAATACTTGTTCGGGCTGTGAGTCAGCCAGTCAATCAATCAGTCAAACACTTGGTCAAGCTGTCAGTCAGTCATTCAATCAGCCAGTCAATCAATCAGTCAAACACTTAACCAGGCTGTCAGTCAGTCAATCATGAATCAAATACTTTTTCAGGCTGTCAGTCAGTCATTCAGTCAGTCAATCAATCAATCAATCAGTCAAACACTTAGTCAGGCTGTCAGCCATTCACACAATCAGTCATTCGTTCCGCCAGTCAATCTTAGTACATCATATTAATATATCTTAGTCTAATTTTTACTAATTATATAATATTTTAGCAATTATATAGCTATAGTTTGTAGTGTACATAAGTCTTCAACCAATCAAGCGTTGAATCCTAACGCATTTAATCCCATTGATTGATTACGTTTCAGTCTAGCATGCAAAATGCGCAGTTCAAATGCGAAGCGATAAATTGAAAGTCATTTTAATCAAGCTCATATTCTATTGCCATGGCAATAACAGATAAATGTAAGCACACACACACATTTGTATATATGTTTGTGTGTGTATATATGTATTTGTGTGGCTGCACTTGATTAGCAAAATTTAGTCATGATAAATGTATTGCTACACTCGACATGGCCATTCAGTTGAAAGTTTTGGGTCCATCATACGCCCAAATGCACCTACCAAAATATGAGCGAGAGAGAGAGACAGAGAGAGAGAGAGAGGAAGTGAGCTGGTGAGTGAGTGAGATAGTGAGATAGAGAGGCTTCTGTCCGTGGTTATTTTGGTCATAAAATGAGTTTCACGTAGCTTTGGCACGTTGAAAACTTTTTAAATAAGTTCAAGTTAAAGTTCGAACGGGAGTTCAAATTCGGGCTCGTAAAGTTGCGGACGCTGCAAAGTGTGCTGCACAAATTGTGCTTGCAATGTTGCCAATTGCTGAGCTATAAAAAGTGTGTCACAACAACAATCAAACAAACAACAGCAACAGCAACAGCGTCAGCGACAGCGACAACAACTTCGTATAATGTTAAATTTGATTGCAACTATTTGAGTGCTTACAGAAGGAATAACAGCAACAACAATAACAACAACAACTTCCACAGGCAGTCAACGATAACGGAACGATAAACGATTAACGATCCACGCAACAGTGAGAATAATGTCGCTGCAGCCAAGCGTTCAATCAGGCAAATGCCCAATGGATGTCGGCACGGAACAGCAGCACAAAGAGAAGCAGCAACAGCCGCAGTCGCAGCCGCAGTCGCTGCCGCCGCAGCCGCAGTCGCCACAGCAAAAGCCAGAGCAACGACAACGTCGCTCAATGCAACTGCTGCCGGTCATGTTGATGCTGCTGCTGCTGACGCTGCTCACGCGGCCGCTGAGCGTTCACTCAAATCGTAAGTACAACAAAAGCAAAGTGTCGGGGCGAGAGACAGAGAGAGAGACAGAGAGAGGCCAAGTGAAGAGAGCGCTTTAGTTGATCGACTGACAGTGACACATGTGAGACCACCAAACTGTTCTTTGCCTGTGCAGCTGTTTATTGCGCTCTCTTTTCCGCCTGCATTAAATTAAGTCAAGTTTATTTACCTTTGCGTTCTGTTTGCTATTTGCTCTTAAATTGCAAAGGGTATATAATTATAATTAAATTCTTAATTTGAATTTTGTGCATTGTCTGCACAAATTTTTGAAAGGACAATGTAAACAATTTGTCTTAAATATAAAGTAAATTTATGTAACGGTAACAGTGCAAATACATTGTGTGCTGTGCAGTCAACAATTCCTTTTTCAATTAGCATCTCGTAAATTTCATTAGCTTCAAACAAGCTCACCATAAGCTTAGCGTCGAGCGACACAGAGAGTGAGAGAGATAGCGTGACGTTAACATGCATAACGTGTGTATGTACATACGTGCATACATACATACTCATATATGTATGTACACTCTTCTTAGTTGTGAGCAGAGCTTCGCACTGTGTGACTTCGTAGTGCTGCTATTTTTAACTCAAGATTTACAGCTAGAATTAACTAACTGTTTTAATTTCGCCTGCACCATGACAGAAGCAAAGCAAAGCGAACGAGGGAGGGAGAGCGTGAGATTGAGTGGCAGAACTGCTAAATAATTGAGCGCCAGACAATCTCACTAATTCACCAGACGAGCGAGTTGGGATCTCTTTTAGCACTTACTCAACAAACAAAAATAAAGAGCGCAGCTCGTGTGCAGCCACAGACCACAGCACAGCTGACAGTCCAAATTGAGAATTACCGTTACAATAAACAAGCTCTTAAATATTGCCAGCACAATGGCATATGCAAAGCCAAATAATGTGTGAAAGAGCGTGACAAAGAGAGAGAGAGAGAGAGAGAGAGAGAGCCCGGCGAGCAGAGCTTAGCTGCGTTATAAGTGAGCTTTAGACAAATTCACCATTCTAAAGAGTGGGCTCCAGTGGGATCGTCTTAGCACTTACTCAACAAACACACACACACACACACACACATATAAGAGCGCAGCTCAGTTGCGAGCAGCGCAGACCCGATTGCTGTTTGGCTTACTTTCAATTCTGTTGCGTTTCTTTAGCTTGTTGTTCCGTGTTTATGGCGGCTGTCACTTTACGATAGCTGCAAAGAAGGAAGTAGCGCATACGCCGCATTCATATGCAAAAGCATGCGTTTGGCATTAAGTTATCACAGGGCAATGCCAATGCTGAAAAGGACCAGCGCGACGGCTTGTGTCTTCCGTGTGCGTGTGTGCGTGTGTGTGTTTGTGACACGTTTGTTTGTTTGTTTGTACATTACTTTTTTACAAGCACTAAAAGATACACTCCCACACACATACACACACACACACACCCACACGCAGATACGCGCACAAGCAGCGCTACTGAAGGAGCTGCATGACAGCTTCCACAGCAGGCAAAGTTCAAAGTAGTTGGCTCCGGTTTGCCCAACGGCCCAATGTCGACGCGGTGGCTTGCTTGCCAGCAAGACGCGTATTAAAAATCAATAGAACCTACAAATGTATCCTTTCTTCGGCTGTAAAGGACAACATGACTACAACAAGAACAACAACAACAATAGACAGTTACATGGCGCCGTCTTTGGCTCGCTGCACAGCAAGCAAATGTAATGAAGCTGTGCAGGTGCGGCTATATACATATACACGTGTGCGTGTGTGTGTGTGTGCCCTTTGACATTGATCGATAACGATTATAGGGCGATGCAGTTGCATTGCTGCCTGTAAAGTCCTCTTCAAGTGTTGTGCAATGAAAATTGCATTCAGTTCTGTTTGTAGAGCCGTAAATACAAGTAGACACCTTTGGCACACACCTGTGTTATCGATAACGCCACTGATACTGTTATTATGGCTTATGGATAAACACATTCTGACGTAGATTAATAGCTGAAATCAATAGATAATCATATTTATAGTATAGTTAAGTGCAGCACTTATCTTATGAGTGGAAATGAGAGTTATTTTGAGATATACATATTATATGTTATCGATAACTGAAGGCGGCATAGGACTGGGATTAGTTTATTGTATTAACAGAGTTGAACTTGTGAAGCAATTATCTCTAGGGTCGTTTACCTGTGAAGTAAATTTATGGAAAACTATTAAGAACTTTTTTTTAAAGGATTATAAATGCAACAAGTTTTTATTTGGACTCTCAATAAGCCATTTATCTAAAATGCTGAGCATATGCGTGATTGGCTGATTGACAGATTGAAATAGAGCCATCTATATATACATATATACATATATATATATATCACATATGCTTCGCTGCTTCATGCATCGATTTATGAGCACATCAATTTAATGTCTAAATGTAAATCGAATGGATGTGTGTATATATGCTTATATAGAGATATCTCTGCCTGCCTCTGTCCCTGTGTGTG